GTATCCAGAGTGAGGCTACGAACTTTCACCCTCACCCTGGATACCTAGATATTTAGAGATTTGACTCTTGAAAGATATACTGAACAGTTCCCGTTTCTTGTAACTGGTCGTTATCGTTACTTGTACGGTAACTGCTTATCCGTTACCGTTACCAAGAACGTCAACTGTTCAGCAGTTACAGTTACTGTAACGCTAATGGTAACTGTCACAGCCCTAATAGGGGTCGTTTATAATTAGGATAAACTCTGCTGAGTATGACAAGTAATTAAAAATGTTTAAGTGGTAGTAATGATTTTTACTCTCGACAGATACTCTGTGGTATCTGGATTCGATGAAAAGTTCAACATCTGGATTATTTACTTCTGTACTTTTTCTCTACTTTTCAGATTTTAAAATTATGGCTGAATACGATTTAACAGCAAAACTCGGACGGTATTTTGATCGTCATCTTGTATTTCCTCTATTAGAGTTTTTAACGGAACGAAATGTATGTACCTACTTGCACAACTTGATATTTTGTTGTGATATGTAATATATTTTGTTTACATTCAGATTTTTGATGAACGTGAAATTTTGCAAGCAAAATATGATCTTCTTCAACCCACAACTATGGTGGATTTTCAACTGGATATTTATAATAAATTGTATCCTGATTCAGAAGAACCAAAAGGTAATATATATATATACCAGCTGAAGTACCCGGCGTTGCCCGGGAAAATTCAATATTTCATGCTTGACATATTGGAAAACGATAGTCTTATTGTTTCCTATAAGTTACCGGTCTTTAATGCTACAAAATGCGCTCGAATCTTTTCCCCTTTTCAACTTCTTTTTGTTTTGGCATTTTAATATTATCACTCTGATAAATCCCTTTGGTGAACGCTTTGAATCGAGACATGAGCAGGACCAGCCTTTTCGGTTCCGGCCGGTCCTGGTTTTGTCCCGGTCTGGTCCTGGTCTTGTTCCGATCTTGTCCCATCCCGATCTCCGTCCGGTTCCGTGCCGGTGTCGTCCTGGTCCCATCCTGATTCCACCCAAAAGAAAAGTTTTGGTCCCGTTCTCGACCTCGGAACCAACTTTACTATCTCGACTTAATGATTTTTGCAGTGTCTTAGAAGAAGATTTATAACACATGAGTTGTGACATTATGCCATTCAACAGAAGTCTTTCACGATCGTAAAAATTATCATTTCTAATAAAAAAAGTGTTGTTTGTGGTTCTGGTAAAAAAAATTTTGGCCCGAGTCCCAATTTCGGTCAGCAAAAGGATTTCAATCACGGTCCCGGCGGTCAAAAATAATTTCGGTTCCGATCCCTGGAGTAAACTTTTGGTCCTGGGAACATTTTGCCCGAATCTTGACTCATTCCTACATTAGTTTAGAGTTAAAAAAAGCTTCTTTGTAAAACGTTGTCACCGTTTTGCTCCGTTGAAAACTTGACCAAAAGGATATTACTGACGATGAAAGTATGCTCAAATACGACTGGTCAGCAAACAGACCAATCAAATTCGAGCACACTTTCATATCCTAGAATCTCTTCAATTCAATGACGAAAATCTGAAGTCTTTATCTCCTTTCGTTCTCGAGTTATTGAGAAGACAGTCGCACACGGACTTTTTGGATGGGGCACTTACTGTAGTGCTCCAACAACGGGATTACTAAGTACTCTGGAGATAAAAATTTTGAATCGAAAAGCGGCCCTTCACTCCAGGGCGGGACGAAGAGGTATAGGTAGAAAGAGAGTATTTCAGAAATTGGAGAAAATTCTCCAAAATTTTTGAAAAATTAGAAAATTTTCTGCAATTTTTCAAAAAATGGTGGAGGGGAAGAATCTCCCACCCTCTCACGGTCGCGCCGACCCCATCTCGACCTTCCTCTGCACTTAAGGGTATGCCATAGAAAATTTGGTGACGCTAGCTCTTACAGGGACCAAATGCATAAAGAACAGACAAACATTCTTCTTTATATAGATAGAAGATAGATAGATAGATATTGAGTTGAAAGAATTCTTGGTACTCTAATTTAACAAACTGTAAAGAAAAAGCGATAATTAAGCAGAAGATGAGAGAATGTTTTTGACGGATAAAACAGTGCCATGAATGTGGGGTGGTCGAGTGGACAAGAAACATGCATTTTAAAGTTACTTTCAGTTAAAATCTCAAAATCATGAGATCATGGCTCTCAGAAAATCTGGTGACTTGTTTAAACTGCTCAGAACCAATATCTCTCTTGGCTCCCATTTTGAAGAGAACACGAAGAACTTTCTATTCCAGAAAAGAAACCAAAATGTTGTCCTTCTATACTTTGGAGGTCTGACATAGAATTTTTGGAAACGTTCTAAGATTTTACTTAAAAAAAGATTTTTGAAATGTGCTTTTTATGAAAATATAGCTTTGTACAACAAATACAAAATCTTATGTTTTTAGAATTGATTGGCAAACGAGAAGAAATTGTTCAACGGTATCAAGAATTATGTGCAATCGTTCAGCCACTGCTAGATGCTGTTTTGACAGATGATATTACGAGAATGATTGAAAATCAACGGTAAGTAGACAAATTATTTAGAATACAATTGTCTATTGTAGAAATAAAAGTTGATAGAGTTTGTCTCTTCCTTTAATTCATGTTCACGATGATATAGTTTCAATTTTTCTTTTTTAGCGATACTAGCGTAACATTACAACATTTACAACAAAAATTTCAAGTCTGTTCAGAATGCAAAAACGTTTATTATTAATTGAATATATCTATTCTTTTTAGATTGAGCGTAGTGTTGTTGATACATTATACACATTTGCTCGTTATGTTTTTGATTGTGGAGATTATTCGCGTGCAGCAACACATTTAGGTCTTTATCGTGCACTTGTAAGTATTAGATCGGATTACGCACAGTAACAACATGTTGCAAAATTGGATACAATGATTTTCTATACATTTTCTATTTTCTTCTTTTTATGTTCCTCATAATGATAAAAATATGATGGCTTGTTTATGGGGAAAACTAGCATCAGAAATTCTGATGCAACGTTGGGATGAAGCATACGATGATTTGAACCATTTGAAAGAAGCGATTGAAAACAATGTATGTGCAAGCAAAATTATCATGAAAAATCACAATTTAACTAATTTTTGTTTCTCTTTAGCCATCTGCTAAAGCTCCATTAGAACTTCTCCATCAACGTACATGGTTTATACATTGGAGTTTATTTGTTTATTTCAATCATCCAAAAGGACGAGATGATTTAGTACAACTTTTCTTAAATCAAAATAAGTATGTTCCGTTGTTTTTATACGTATAGTCGTTTCAAATTGTTTATAGTCACCTGTTAATATTGTGTTTGTTTTTTAGTAGCGCATATTTGAATACAATGCAAACGGCATCACCTCATCTCTTACGTTATTTATCAGCGGCTGTTATTATTAATCCACGAAAAAAAAATCAGAATACACTGAAAGAACTTGTTAAAGTTATTCAGCAGGTAAGCTGTCATTATTTTGAATATACAACTACGATTACAGCATAGCAAAGCTCTGTCTGGAAATAATTTCAATATTTCTCCATTATCTTTTACTCTAATTTACTCGTACCTAAGAAAATCGAGAAACATTTTCTTACTTACTCGAGAAATATGAAGAAATTAGTTTATATCTGTGATAACTACTATTTGTTGTCTTATTTTATGTTGCAAATTGGTTAATGAAAATACTTCTTTATTTTCAATTTTAGGAATCTTATGCGTTTCGCGATCCAATTACAGAGTTTCTTGAATGTTTATACGTTAATTTTGATTTTGATGGTGCACAAAAGAAATTACGAGACTGTACCGATGTGTTAAATAATGATTTTTTTCTAATTGGATGTGTCGAAGAATTTATGGAAAATGCGCGTTTACTCATATTTGAAACATTTTGTCGAGTACATCATTGTATCACAATTGAGTATGTTTTTATTCTTTTTATCTGTAAATTTATCGAAGTCTTTTTAACACAAAAGAAGTTAGACGTATCTTTTGCAAAACAAGTAATAATATAGGGTTTTGTTCTTATAGTATGTTAGCCGAAAAATTGAATATGAATCCAGATGAAGCTGAACGTTGGATTGTTAATTTAATTCGTAATGCTAGTTTAGATGCTAAAATTGATTCTAAACAAGGTACAGTTGTCATGGGTTCGCACGCAATGTCACCATATCAAATTATATATGAAAAAACAAAAAATTTATTTAATCGAACACAAATGATTGCGCAAAGTAGTGAACGAAAACGTACTACAGCTGATACAGCGGTACGTATGTTTTAGGATTTATGGTGTGTACTCTCCTATTGTTATTTTCTTTTCTTTTTTTAGTCAAGTTGGAATTATCAACCTCAATCTGCAAGTATACCAGAATAATAGTTTTTGTTTTTGTTATTTCTCTATAGATCCGTTTTATTTGTTGTTTATTATATCAGATGTGCATGTTACGGTAGGGAATTTTCTTTCATTGTTGTACGTTTGTATCAAATATAGAACGAAATAAAAACAAAAAAAAATCTCGTCAAAATTTATAACAGCAACATATTCTTCTTTTTTTTCTTTGAATATACAAAAAAAGATTTGTCTTATCCTCTTGTACGGACCAATTACAGTTCATTGTAATTACTAACAACTCAAATTAATCATAACTGTTAGAGAATATGAGTCATAACATAAATTATTTCAAATTGGGAGAAACTCGAACGATGATATCACTTATACTAAACGTGCAAATTATCCAGTTTATAATTGACAGCACATAGTCAAAATGAATTGTTGAAAAGATCTATAGCAAAATGTGAAAATATACAAGTTCGATTCTGCATGTGAGAAAGCCATGTTCACGAATATTTGGGTTCTTCCAAGGAAAGAAAGTTATTTGCCAGCGATACCTATAAAGGAAGACTAGAAGAGAGTATACAAAAATTTGGGGTTTTAGAAATTCTGGAACATGGCTTTCTCACATGCAGAATCGAACTTGTATACTTTCACATTTTGTTATAACTCTTCTCAACAATTCGTTCCGGCTGTATGCTGTCGATTCCAAAGTGGACAATTTCCGCACTCGATATAAGTCATGTCTTCGTTCAAGCTTCACTCAATTTGAAATAATTTATGTTATATCCCATATTTTCTAACATGAATGATTAATTTGGTTTATTAGTAGTTACAATCTTGGACAGATATAATTAGTCATTACCTTTGCTTTTGTCGGTCGACGCATCTCACATGAAGTTTTGTTGACCAATTCTAAGAATGTGGCGAGCTATCTTCGACTATAGTCTTTGAGAAAGGACTCTCAGGTCCGAGTATTTTAATTATTTGTTGATTTTTTTAATCGATTATAGTAGAGAAATTATTGAGAAGATAATGTTTAGAAGTACTAATCCTCGAATAGAACAAAATGAAGTAGGTATTATCAACAAATGCCTAAGTTCTTTGTATAGTATTATTTAAATAGTAGTGCTTTAACAACAGCGAATAAACTCATTCCAATTTTATTTCGAGTTTTCGAAACCTATGGTTTCATTACCAAGAAATCTAAATATTAAATGAAAATCAACAAGACTAATGGATTAAAATGAAATTGAAGTACAAGAAAACACGAGAGTGAATCATATTTAGTAAAGCAGACACGTGTAACTGTACACTAGTGTGTCGAACAGAAACGATAAACTTTGGCTATTGTAATGTCATCATTTTATTTTGACTTTTGTCTGTTCTTTTCGATTTATTCTTTTATTCTTCTATTGTTCTTTTCGATTTTTTGATAATGAAACTACAGGTTTCGAAAGCTCGAAATAAAATTGGAATGACTTTATTCGCTGCTGTTAAAGCTCTACTATTTGTACTCAAAACTCTTCCTATTAAAGAAAGAAATTATAGTATTATTATTCACTTTTAATCGAACTTTTTTGTCAATTAGACGAGTCGGTAACACCGTTCAGTGAACACACTAATCCACAATGAATAATAAGGATATTGTATAGAATTGTAGACTTTAGTAATTGATAATCTTTTAATTTTAAATAAAAGAAAAGTACTGTGCATATGTTAATAATAACATTACACCAGTTATTAAACTGATTAAGTCCATTGATTATCCAAAATGTGAAATAATTAATACCATCACTAATGCACATATAATTAGCAGGATACATAACACGATTGTTCACCATTTTCACTGTTTCGTTTCTCATTGATAATATGTTAAACATGGATTATTACAAAAAATACATGTCGGACTAAGTTCATATGAAGTAAAGTAGGGTGATTGGTAAGACAAGAGTGCTTTTATGATTAATGTTAAAGTAATTAGAATACGTAATTGTTTTGTTGATCAATTATCTGTTACAACCTTTGATGTTAATTCTTGTCATGTTAAAAAGTCAATAAGATCATAACCAGTTTTGAATAAACATGCAGTAAGATGTGAGATAATACTAACATATTATTCAATTGAGAGAGATAAATCATATTATCTTCTAATGTTAGAAGAAAGATTCATGACGTATAGTTATAAAGGACTTATGCCTAACGTTACAAGCCAACTGTGAATCAAACATCTTGTTAACTTTTAAATTAACAAGTTTTAAGATGATGTATCTATAACTTTTAACTAACATAATGTTGTTGTGGAAAATGCTTGTATATTAATTTTCAATTAAATTTTTTAATCATTATTATGCCATTGATTTCGATAAGTAGAATAATGAACATGTCGATAATCAAATGGACAACGGCATTTTTTTTACATAAAAATGTGATATTATTCGTAAATCTTGTATAAAATGAATAGGGTATCATAAATAAGCGTGATAAACGTATGCAAATATCAACATTAATATTTAATTGTGAAAACTTAACAGCAGCTATCTCATTAGTACCAAATATAACATACCTAGAACATCGTAGAGTTAATGTGTTGATGCGCAGATTTTCACTCATGTATCATTACCAGTTCAATGTTTTGTGGAATAAGTGCTATTCTGTCATTTTCCCATACATCATAATGTTATATTTTAATAATTATACCAGATATGTCGGTTTCATGAGACATGCAATTAAGATTTCTATCGTATAATGCAAATTCAAGCGACAACACAGTGCAATGATCACCGTGATAAAATATACCGAACGAACTAACGAGAAACATACTTTGAACACAGATAATCTTATTGTGTACACAGTGCTTTAGAGTGGTTTGATTGATTCGTCCGATAATTTAAAGACGTCAGTATTATTATTAATTGTTCCATGATTTGTTACTCTTGATTAATAATGTTTCTGAACTTGAACTTTCTGGTTTTCTGCCAAATTTTTAATACGTTATTATTTGGATCGGTATTAATCAGGCAAATTTTTTGTCGTAAATGATGAATCAAAATGTATTTTGTCGTGTTCAAAATATCCATATTACTAATTAATTTGGAATGTTAAAAACTGACATTGTTTGTGAAAAAGAGACAATTCTACATTTTTTCTTTTGTTTACTTGTATTTCATATATTTGTGTCTAATACCTTGACCTTTTCTTTTCCAGTAACACTATTTATTTAACAAGACAATGATAGTTTTCATAGAGTAGAAGAAAAGCAAAGTCGAGCTTTTGTGATTTTCATACTAACAATTAGGTTTTTACTTTAAAATTCATTTACTTAGCATCTCTATTTACAAAAAACAAAGTTAATATAAATTTTGTTAAATGTTCCGGCAGTCATTACCGATCTTCGTCTTTTTTAGTTGAAATTTGCATAAAAAAACTAAGAGTATCAACCATATCCACATACGAAGTATGAAAAATTAAGAGACTCTTTCTTCTCATTGGGCGGGTTGCATGAGAAAGCTGAAACGGTAACCATGGGTTGAGCTAACGAGAAAGCCTTCCTAGGTATCACCCTCCGTTTTCCATGATATTGTGCCCATTGACAGAGGATAGTGTCCTGGTAAAAAGGATTTATCCCCATGGACTTCTTTCAAAGTTATATTTCTTTTTTGCTTATGCAAAGAAAACACAGTAACACTAAAATTTTCGTATCTTGGCAAAAACAGCGAATTAAGAAGTGAAATTATTTTTCTGTAACTGTACTATTGTCTATTCATACCACAAAAATATTCAAGTCTTAAACTCGCTTACATATTGAATAAGTGAATCTTCACTTCGTTAAGGAAAATCTTATTTTCTGAAGCAGTTCTTTTTTGTGACCGAAGTCTTGGAAACAAAAAAATTAGCGGTGTATATTACGCTGTACTGCGGTTTAATATCCGTTTTTCTTCATTTGTCGCATTAAACGAGCTACTACATCTGTTCAGATTTTAAGCTTTATTCAGTAGAGTTTTCGTTCTTCACTTAGGCTCACTATTTCAAACTTGAGATAAAGTTTTATTACTATACCTGAAATGCCCGAAAAAAGGCCTTAAAATTAGAGATTTCGCTCTATTACGTTGATTAGTTTTCTCCTGAAACGCGGCTTTTGTTCATCAAAGAGAGTGTCTTTTTTAAAACAAAAAAACAACAACAGATGTTGAACGATTATTTTACAAAAATAATACCTTTGAGCAAAATGTTATACGTGATAGTTAATATAAAACTATTTTAAACATTTCTCGTGTATTCATTATGTTCATGGATAAAAAAATATCTTTTTGAACAAGATTAAAATAAAGTTTTTAATCACAATTAACGTTGAAATAATTACCTAGTTTTCTTCTTATAGAAAAGAGGTATTGCGTGACAATTATCATCGTCTTCTGTGATATACTCGATTGCTAAATTAAAAACTGAACATATGAAATAATTATTGTAGAAATCTTCGTTTATTGTACCTGAAGTTTATTATTTCTTAATTGTGTATGATTTTTAAAATTTGTTTTGTAGATATGTGAGACAAAGTTGTGGTTTTCTGCAAAAATTAGAAAATAATGAATTCAAATAAGATCATTTTATTTTTTATATCTGACATTTAAATGAATTTTTATCATTATACACACCAGATCAGCTTACAAATGAAAAATGGTTTAGTTCTATTTTGATCCATGCATTCATATTCCTGTTGCCATCTTTTGATGCTGTTTAATCTTGCAATACAATAAAAGATGAATCAATTGGATATCTGAAAGAAGTATCTCATGGAATGTATGTCATTACTCTAATGTTTAAATATTCTTTTTTCTATTTATTCTAATTCTTGTATAATCATCAATAAATGTGTTAATAATGAAGTGTTAAGAATGATGGATGAAAGTCAAACAAGTCTAACTGATAGTCACGCCAAAAAACGGCGTTTTACGATTGCAGCACCACTTGACCATAATGATATAACACTGGAAAAACAACAACAGCAACAAAGTAAATCTAGTCAAATTGATACGTCAACAGATGTATTAGATAAAGATTTCAATACATTGTACGATAATTGGATACAATTGGATAATCAATTAAAAGTATTTGAACCACAGCATAAAGAATATGTACAAAAACTAGATGAAGTAGAAGAGTTAAAAATGAAATATCGATTAGATTTTGATCGATATATGAAGAAACTTGAGCAAATACAAAAGGATATTAAATATCTTATTAAACAACAATCAAAACAGACAACAACAGCATCCGTGGGGTATGATTCAGTTTGAAATCTATCACCTTTTGTTAACGTGATATTCATATTGAAATTTATTTTATCTAATATTCTTCTTTTATTTATTCTAGTACTCCTCAAACAACATCAACACCAGTCTCAAATGATAAATTATCTGATTTTAAATTGAAACTAAAACAGTCACAATCTACAACTGATTTGATCTCAAAATCTCAACCATCAACGTTAAAACCATCATTATCCATGGATAAACTATTTCAAACTCAAACATTAAAACCTATTGAACGTTTACAACTAATTGATGAACAATTAAATTTATATCATTCTTATTTACATCGTATTGCCGATACTCTACCACGAAAAGATACATATTTACGAATAATATTGGGTGCCGTTGATGTATCAATATTAAATAGATCGAATAAATGGAAATATAAAGAAGAATATGAAAAATTTAAGTTTATCATAACAATTATTACCATGATATTTTCATTTATAATTTGGATTGCAAAAATTAAATTTCGTGCATTCGATGCTATATTTCATTTTCTATTAGTCTGGTATTATTGTACATTGACAATAAGAGAATCAATATTGATCGTTAATGGATCGAATATTAATGGATGGTGGAGAGCACATCATTTTATCTCAACTGTTTGTACAGGAATATTATTAACGTGGCCAGAATCACAGTCATATCATCAGTTTAGAACACAATTTTTTATTTTTTCATTTTATCTAAGTGTTGTGCAAGTAAGTAATAAATAACACGTTTCTAGACTGAATAATGAATATATCTAATAATAATTGAATTAGACTTTTATAATCCGATTTATATTTCTTTCTATAGGTTTTACAATTTTATTATCAACGTGGTTGTTTGTATCGTTTACGTGCATTAGGTGAAACATGTGATATGGATATAACAATTGAAGGATTTCATTCATGGATGTTTCGTAAGTAATGAAATAACATTTTTTTTCTCATATCTAAGACGTAGGATAAGATGTTCAAATTCTGTGTACGTTTTATAGAGAGTTTAGTGAAAGTACAAAGTAATATAATTTCATCAATATCAATGTTATCTTGTCAATTTAAGCTAGTACTAGTAATTGGCATTTGTTCTTGTTTCATTTAAGGTGGTTTGTCATTTCTCGTTCCGTTTTTATTAGTTGGCTATACATTTCAATTTTATAATGCTTATACATTGTGGACATTATCGTACAAACAATATACAAATGAATGGCAAGTTCGTGTATTAGCCATCATATTTTTTATTCTTTCCTGTGGTAACACTATTACTACATTGAGTGTATTGCGAACAAAATTTCGAAAAAAACCTATAGAAAATAAACAAAAATATCTCTTGGGTAATGAATCAAATTATCGTCTATCACAAGTATCGACGACCGACACAAGAAAAGGAGATCGAGTTCTTAGAATACAACAACATAAATGATGAAAACATATTCGTAATCAAATTTAAATAACAGAACTTTTAAATAGTCTATTTTATTTTTTTGCTTTATTTATTTATTGTAATACAGATCTATAATTTCCAAT